CATAGTTATTTAAGGTGAAACTGGATATTACTGGTCTCTTTTTGAGAATACACATACATTTCTTATTGGATGCTATATACTGTATATTGGAAAAATCCTCTAGTACACATTAACATGAATATTATTAAATATGTAGTTTAAAAACTGTTTCAACCCTTCAAGGCCTGGCAGGTTCAAGGTATTCGTGCAGATGGAAAAAATCCATAGAGCCAATGGGTCATCAGGCATGCCTTTATTCATGGGTGGGTAAGCCACGCACGATGCAAGCTGCGTGTCTATCTGCATGTCTCGTGTCATGGCCCCGGCTTCCTAGTGTGTCACCCACTGTGGCACCTGTCCCCTTGCATGTCTCTCATCATCATCGCCCCCAGCAGGGAATCCCTACCTGTGTAAGTGCTAGAGGGGAACAAAGCCAGAAAACTGCCAGAACATTACATAACATGACATAATTCTGCGCATCGAGCCCACTTCATGGTATGGGAACAGTTTATTGGACCCAGTCTCAAGGCTGTGAGAACACTGGTTATCAGGCCCCTCCAAGGCTACAGGAACACTGCTTTCCTTAGTTACCCAGACACCTGGGTGAGGAAGCCAGACTGCCTCCACTTACCCTACATAAACCTATTGTTATTAATAAATGTTCATATTGAATTTTACATTTATGAGTTCTTCCCTCATAACTGTGAAAGTGATGATTTAGCTTTTTGCTAGTGAAAAGAACTAAGAACCATTGATCCTTGCAGTTTACTAGATTAGATTGGTTTTTCAGAAGCATAAAATATATAAAAAGTACAGTATTTATGCCCTAAATGTCAATATTTATGTACTCTGGTGACTCAGCTATATTGCAAAATGCTATTTTCTTGGAAAGATGATGAAAGGCTTAGACAAAAAACATGTACATAACAAACAGGCACAGTCAACAGTGTGGTGATAACCAGAGAGAACGGGAGCGGGGATGGGGCTAGGTGAAGGTGGGTACACGTGGTGAAAATGGGGTGGAAAGAGACTTTGCTTGGGGCAATCGACACATGATGCAGTGTGCAGATGACGTTTTACTGAGGTGTATACTTGAAACCTGTATGGTTTTGCTGCAGATACAGATTGGGTCCAGGCTCTTGGTGGTCATGAACAAAGAATTGAATGGACCACATGGAGATAATAAGCAAAGCAAGCAAAAGTTTCTGGCATCATAACTGACAAATCCTCTGAGAAACAGGAGAAAGCCTAAAACCAGGAACACCCTCCAGAGCTAATACTGACCATCAAAATACCCAGGGAAATAAGTGGAAAACCTGACAATTGGAATCCATTAACTAGAGATAGACCAAATCCTTAAATGGCCCCATATCTTCCTATAGCTGAAGTGGTCAGGCAAAAAGAGAAAGTACATCATCACACTATGTTAGGGAACATCTCAAAAGTTCCAAGTGATTTATTTATTTATTATTTATTTATTTTCATGAACAAATTATCAAAATTTTATTTAATTATTTAATTTTTTAAAAAGTATTGTTCAAATACAGATGTCTCCATTTGCCCCCCACCACTCCCCCTACCTCAGCCATCCCCACTTCTACCCTTGATCCTACCCCACTTTGGTTTGTCCATGTGTCATTTATATAAATTTCTGAAAACCCTTCCCCCTGTTTTTCCCCATTATCCCCTCCCACCTCCCCTCTGGTTATTGTCAGTTTGTTCTTTTTTTTTTTTAATTGATTTGTCAGGATTTTTAAAAAATATTTTATTTATTTATTTTTAGAGAGGGAACGGCGGGAGAAAGAGAGAGAGAGAGAGGAAACATCAATGTGTGGTTGCTGGGGGCCATGGCCTGCAACCCAGGTATGTGGCCTGACTGGGAATCGAACTTGTGACACTTTGGTTCGCAGCCCGTGCTCAATCCACTGAGCTACGCCAACCGGGGCTGTAAGTTTGTTCTTAATTTCTACTCTTTTCGACGGCATGGATGGAACTGGAGAGTGTTATGCTAAGTCAAATAAGCCAGGTGGTAAAAGACAAATACCATGTGATCTCACCTAAACGTGGAACCTAATCAACGAAACAAATAAACAGGCAAAATATAACCAGAGCCAAGTGAATTCTTTCTTTGCTCCTACACTAACCCCTTCCCTATTCCCAGCCCTTGGCCTAATCATCAGGAGATAAGAGAAAAAGAAAAAAAGGGATAAGGACTCTAATCATACAAATTCCAAAGTCAAAATCATCCCAACTCACAAATTCCTCATGTCTTACAGCAGGGGTGTCAAATTTATTTCCACCAGGGGCCACATCAGCCTCGCAGTTGCCTTCAAAGGACTGAATGTAATTTTAGGACTGTATAAATGTAACTACTCCTTAACTAGGGGCCAGGAACTCTACATTTGGCCCTTTGAAGGCAACCAGGAGGCTGATGTGGCCTCCAGTGAAAATGAGTTTGACACCCCTGTCTTACAGGAACCAAAGGGATGGTAGCTCCTCCTGCCTTGGTTCTCTCAGCTTCATTATCCCAAAATAAGGGAGTAGGTGGGTCTCTTCTATTAAAATGGTTACCAGATTTATAGGGTTTTTACTTAAGTTTCTACAAATGCAATTTCCCACAATCCTCCTTGATTGTCCACTTGGGAAGGAAACCACAATGCTAATTACTATCGGGTGTCACAAGGACATTCTCAGAAATCAGGATGCTGACTGATGACAGCTGCAGTACCCTAGGATTTCCTATTCTATGTCCTGCTTCATTTTTTCGAACCAATGTCACCCCAATAAATTCAATGAACATTTTAAAAAATATTATGCTGTTTAGTAATAAGGAATTTTTCTGAGGTATAAAAACATCATAGTTATCTTAACTCTTGCCTAGAATTTTGGTGATCAATTTTTAAAATTGATTTTAAAGAGAGGGGAAGGGAGAGAGAAAGAGAAAGATCAATTTCTTGTTCTAACTATTTACGCATTCACTGGCTAATTCTTAGATGTATCTTGACCCTGGATCACACCCACAACCTTGGCACATAGGAGCAATGCTCTAACCAACTGAGCTACCTGACCAGGGCTGGTAGTCAATTTTTATATACTAAATATGTATAGTAAATATCATAAATGCAATCAAACCAATGACTAGTTCTAAAAAGAGGCCTCTGCACATTTATCTGCTGTTGGTAGTGGAGCTAACTTTCAATATCAGGTTGACCTCTTTGCGCTCAACACGTTTTAATTTGCTTTGGCTGCTTCTTAAAAGGACCACCCCTCTACTGCCCCCCAACCCCCATTAAAAAAAGTGAAAGATCAATGTCTTCAATATGTTCATTTTATGCATCCAAATGAAAGTAGGTTAAAGATATGTCCCATAGATTCAAGCTATTTATACTACATCTCTTTACTTCTTAGAGGCATAAGTTTTAGCAGTAAGCTAACTATGCAGATCAAAATGTAAACCTTTAGATTTTTATACTTTTCATGGTGGAACTCAAAGAGCTACAATTTATACTCTTGTGACAAATTCTTCTTATCAACATCCTTTATGTGTCTGAAACATTGTTCTCACTAAATAATATCTCCCACCCCATTCAAAGAAATGCAGACTAGTTCAAATTTAACCTGAATATAATTTGGAATCTATCATTAAAAAATATATTATGCATTCTGAAGAAAAATTACTTATAAATATATGGTTTAGGGGATTATTGGTGTGTCTGCTTATTAGTATATTTTAAGTTACCTTTTTTCTCCTGCAAATTCGGGTCTCTGTTCAACTTATTTTCATTCAGTTCCACAGTTTTTTCTTTTTCCAAGAATCCAGAAATCTTTACAGATATCTTGTTTCCCTTTAAATAAGTATCAAGACTAGGAGAATGGCAGTGAAGCTAAGTGACCCTAAATTCCATGCCTCCAACAGGCATTAAACATGCATAAATTTTTTCAGAGGTGCTAAAATTCACTAGGAGAAAAAAGTTCAAGGAAGGTTTTTGAGTAGCTTTTTATTACTGTTTAAAAATAAGCAAATTTTAACATTATTCCCAACACAGTACATAAGTTCTTTATTGCTTCAGCAATTACTAATACATTTACAATCTCTTATCTGAGACTTTTGGCCCAATATATTTCAGAATTCAGAACTTTTAATGCAAAGGCGCATCTGTCAAGTATTTTGCAACACCTTCAGCGAGGGCTGGAACTGCATTGTAATCAAATATTATTTCTGTAGAAAATTTATGAATATTCACACCAAGTGAATATTCAGTTATACATAGCTTCAGTTCCCTTCAGGTCAGATTTCACCAAGGGGAGTTAGGAAAGACATAAAGAATTGGGACCTGTAAAGGCATGTTAATCTGAAATCCAGTTCTTTGTATTTGATCTCCAGATAAAGCCATTGTAAACTGTTGGGTTTTTTGTTGTTTTTTTTTTTTTTTACAAAAAAATAAAATGTATTTGAAATGAAACAGTCCATTTTATTTCAGGAGGTGAATGTAAAATAGATTAACCTGTGAACAACAAAGTTAATTACATTATGTTCTTCCTTCTAGAACTTGCCTAGCTCCACTCTGCTTGAAAACTCCATTTTTTGGCGCGATACTAAGACATCACATCAACCCCAAGCTTGCAGTGTGAGCATGTCTGGGGGCTTAAAGGACCTCAGGCATCATGAAGACCTGCGGAAGGGTAGGGAGGCCCGGGATGGCGCAGAACCCTGCAGCATGTCTACGCTGGGCAAACTTCAACCTTAGTGGATGAAGGTCAAGCAAGGTTCAGTAGGTACCAGTGTAGTTGTTCCCTTACTAGGACACAGGGTGAACAATAAGACTCCTTTATAAGGTGCTGTTGTAACTTCTTTTTTGGGGTTTGCATAAAGGTCAAACTGGGGAGGTGGGCAAAGCGGCTGGTAAACCAGAGCTGGGGCTAGTAGAGGAAGGGAAACAAACAGGTCGCCGAGTCTTGAACAAGTTGGGCATAAAGGTCTGAGCCTTCGTTTCCCGCGTCCACCCTCAAGAGTTAGGTACCTGTGTAGGCGGAGTGTGGCCGGCCGAGACCCCGCCGACACCCCGGCCAGGGCGCTGGGCTCCGCCTGCAGCAAGTAGTTTCCTATGGCCAGGCAGGGCTTGGACGGTTCATCCGGTAACCACCGAACCGTTCCCTGGCCAGCAGACCAGGGCCCAGCTCCGAGCCGAGGAGGCCTGCGGCAGGTGGGGCCGGGTCCCAACAGAGCGCAGGCCCGGCCCGCCCCTTAGCTTCGAGTATGGGGCGGGACCTTCGCGACTCCTACCCAATCCCCGCTCCCTAGTGACTGTGGGGGTGGAACCCTCGCAGCTTTCCACCCAATCCCTGCTCCCCGGTGGCCGTCGGGCTGGTCCCTCCCGGTTTTCCGTCCAATTTCTCGCTTTTTCCGAGGACTTAAGGGAGCTGGCAGGCGCGGTCGTCGGCTGCGGCGGAGTGGGTGAAGCGCGCGGGGTGAGGACGAGCTGGCCCCGGGAGACAGTGCTGCCTCCTTCTTCTAACTCTTAGGGGGTGGGGGAAAGTTAAACAGTGTAGAACAGAGTTAAATAATACAGGGGGCGGAGATGCCATGACTCCGCGAGGGAGCCCGGTCAGCAGGCATCTTGCCTGCCGGGGTCGGAGACCCGACGTCGGGCCACTGGGCTGCTCCGTCGTGATGCTTGGTTAGATTTCTTTCACTTGGCCGTCTCTTGAGTGTGCAGAGCAGACCTCCGGCTGGTGGGAGGAGTCTCCGAGCTCTCGTCGCCCTCTGCGGCCCCAGTCTTTGGAACCCAGCCTTGAACTCTGTCGCCCTGCGACAGAATGCACCAGATAGCGACCGGGGCACTGGGAGGTTCATTGTATCCTGTGGACCTGTCTAATGGAAGGGAGTGCGGTTGTTTGTAACCTACTGTAATTTTCATCCAGTTTTCTAGCAGATAGACTTTATGCGTGTGTTTGCTGTGCGTGTGTTTGCTGTACTTTCCCAAAAGTTTGTCTTGGGGCCCCCCAACCTCTAGATTGTCTGTCTTCCACTTTCTTTCACCAGTTTCTGTTAATATCCACTCTCCCACCCCGCGCTTATTTCTTCCTTCCCATAGTCACCAGCCTTGTTCAGACCCGTGTGATTTCAAAGCAGAGGCCCCTGGCAGTCCTAAACAATTCACCTGGTGTACCCGGTATGTTGACAATCAATTTTTTTTTCTAACTTACTCTTCCGAAGTCTCTTTCCCACTTTGAGTTTACAACTTATTGCTAACAGTAAGCCCATTATAAATAAATCCAGTGCCATCATTTTCTTAATGCATATATAGGTTTTTGGGGAATTATTTAATTTAATCTTTATGGTTGAGAGTTCAAAACAAATAATGCTTCTTGACAGAATCTGATAATTCATATTTTCATGTGTACCTCTGGGTTAGTTAAAACTGCAGTGTGTATGGAATTGGAGTCTGTTAAATGGCAGGGAGGTATACAGAAAATAGCTTATCTTTTCTGTATGTGTGTATTTGTTGCCTGTTGCTGCCATAATAATTTATTACAAACAATAAAAAAATGCATTTGTTATCTCACAGCTTCTATAGATCAGAAATCTAGGTAGGTTTAGCTGCAGGCTCTGCTTAGGATCTCACAGAGCTAAAATAAAAGTTTCTGTATGTAGATCTGGGCTCTTTTCTGGAGATTCTGGGGGAGAACCCATCTCCAAGAGGCTCATTGAGGTTGTTGGCAGAATTCATTTCTGTGCAGTTGTAGAACGGAGGTCCCACTTTCCTTACTGGCTGTCAGCCGGGGCCTCTATTAGTTCCATAAGAGCACCTGAATCTTCAAAGCCAGACAGCACCTTTTGTGGTTTTAATCTCTGACTCTTCCGTCTCCAGCTGGAGAAAGCTTTCTGCCCCTAAGGGTTCAAGTGATTATATTAGACTCATCTGGATAATCTCCCTATTTTAAGATCAGTTGTGCTGTGTGAAATAACATGATCACAAGTATGGAAGTGAAAAATCTCATGTTCACAGGTTCTGGGAATTAGGGAGGGGGTCAGGAATCATGGGGGCTATTCATAGAAATTCTGCTTAGGTAACATGATATAGTCATCTTAACTAGATTAATTTATTTTTATAATGTGCTTGGGCAGGCATTTTTAAAAAACTCTTAACTCTGTCTGATCACATGATTATGCTCTCTAGTTAAGGAAATGTAGTTAAAGTTAGCTGCCTAGGGGCACATGTTTAGAAAGTGGTAAAGTTGGTATTTGAACCCAGATCTACATTTCCATTATATCTAAAGCCATGTTTATGGATGGTCAAAGTGAAATGCAGCCAAAGCCATTAGACAAGAAGAGGCTGAGGAACTTTGAGATCTTTGTTGTAGCTCATTTTTGGATTGTCTCTTTAATTGAGTGGTATAAGCTAATCAGCTCTTCTACCTTAACAAAGGAAGCCCAAAATACAGTGGTATGAACAAGAGAAAAGTTTCCTTTTTTTAATATATATATCTAGAGGGAGGAGTCCAGGGCTAGTAGGAAGATACTGACAACTTCAGTATAAGCATCCCTCATTTTATTGCACTTCACAGATTTGGAGGCAAGACCCTCTACCAGCAAAACAATTATAACTCACTTTATTGCAGTGGTTGGGAACCAAGCTCCCAGTATCTCAGAGTTATGCTTGTACATGGCTTCCATGAATGAGTCCAAAGTGCCATTCCAGTTGGGACTACCTGCTAGACAGTGAGAAGGAGAGAAAGAACAGGGAGAACTCATGTAGGCCTTTATAGGTGATGACCTGGAAGTGATATATGCATCACAGAGCCATTCTTAGCTCCAAGGGAGAGTCCGAGGTACAGCTGTGTAGCAGTATGCCCAGCTAAAACTTGAGATTCTGTTAAGAAAGAAGGGGAAATTATATTGGCCGAAAAGAGCTTCTGCCACACCCTTGTTTTTGATGTTTTATTTTGTAACCTATGATTGGAATATTTTGTTTGTCTTTGCTATTAATTTTAAAAGGTAGTATTTAAAAGAATAGAAAATTCTTATGCAATATTAATGTTCTTTGATTTATCAATTGCTATTTTAATATATAATTTATTTTAAAAAGGCTTTTTTGAGAAATCTCATTTTTCATTTAGCACTTATATACTTCATTCACATTTTGGGTTAATTTAATTTTTTTGATGAAAGTTAATACATTTTGTGGAAAATGTTCAATTGCTTTGGGAAACTTGAAAGCATTCAATAGAGGCCTCACACCATCCACAAAATTCGATAACAGCAGCTTCTCCTGTGGTTTTGTGTATTCTATAATATTCTGTAACTGCAGAATATTTGCTTTCCAAAGCTCCCTTTGTCAACCCATTACTCTTTTCTGTACATTTGGATTCTACCTCCCCATTTAGATCTACTCAGGTCCCCTCCCCCTCTAGTATATGGTCTTTGTACAGGGGGAAGAGTATAGTGAAACAGATCTGGGCTTGAGTTGTTGGTTTGGTCCTAAGCAGGTTACTAAATCTGAGTCTTGGCTTCTTCATTTGTAAAATGACACTGAATGCCACCTTTCAGAGGTAATATGAAAATTAGGGAGATAACACATTTCCTGTAACATGTACTGTAGTATTTGGCAAACAGCAGGTGTCAGTAACTGATAATTACCCTGGTCCCACTGATCATTCCTTTACTTCTAGCACCTTCAGTTGTGGGGAAGAAAAATACTTTTCTGTCTGCTCTCCTAAATTCTTGTGGTTGGCCTAATAATCAAATTGACCTGAGACAGAGTAACAAGAGAAAATAACCAAATTCATTACGTAATACATACGAAGGTTCTGTAAGAATATGGGCACCCGACCCCCCACCCAGGAGAGATCTGGCAGTTTAAGGCTTAAATGCCATCTTGGGCCGAGAAGTGGAAGGTTGTGGTCTGGGACTACAAAGGGCAGAGAAGCAATTCACATGGAGAGTAAAAAGCAAATGTTTGGTAAATAAATGTTTGCTGGGTAATCGCTAAATGCCTTTCACAGTGGGACACTGAACGAACTTAGACCAAATGCCTTGCCAGGTTCCCCTCTGTATCACACTTAGTTCATATTTACTGTAGTTACCAACTGCTCCCTTTCTGGAGCAGGTTTTCTATCTGAATTTTTTTAGGCTGTTTGAAGGCAGGTCTAAGCTTTTCCTAAGTCTTCTTTCTTAAAAATAATGAGCTTAAAATAATCAGTACCCCCCAAAAGGCATATTTTGGGGTGGCAAACTCTGCTTCCCATCAGTCTACACTTTTTTTAAGTTGGTTCTTTCTCTGACAAGTTCATGAAAATGTTTATTAAGGACTAGGACCAAGTCCTGAATATACTGTCATCCCTAAATATTGATTTTGTGAATTGGACCTACCCTATATAAGAATATTTATGAAGTTCTGAGGCCTGTTTTTTTTCTTTAGTTTTTCTATTGTGATTGCATCATGGAAAATCGATTGGCTAAGTCAACTGAAGAACGAACATTTCAGTACCAGGATTCTCTTCCATCACTTCCTGTTCCCTCACTCGAAGAGTCATTAAAAAAATACCTTGAATCAGGTATGTTTGTTCCTCTTAAGAAGTCTGATACTGTTCTGATGTTCAGTGCTTTATAAGTTTTTTACTCTGGGTGTGTTTGGAGCCCCTTTTTTTTATTCCTACCATTCTGAATTTCTCAGTGATGTCTCTTAGTTTTTAAAATTTATTTCTCTGAACACCCAGTGGGTCCTTTTAGTGTAGAAAGTCATGTTCTTTAGTTCTAGGAAATTTTTGAAATATTTGATAGTTTCTCCTCAGTTCTTTGCTCTCTCTTTCTAGAACCCCTATTACTTGGATCTGGGTCCTTCTGGGCTAAGCTTTTCATTTAAAAATGTTTTCCTTAAATTATTAGCGTGTTAAATGCTGTTGAGTCAGCTTTTGCTCCTGGTGACTCTATAAATGAGCAATGTCCCCTGTGTCCTGTCCTCAGCAACCCCACTCAGCTCCTACAGATTCATGCCTAAGACTTCTCTTACGCGGTCAATCCACCTGGTCTTCCTCTTTTTTCTGTTGTCTTCTATTGTACCCAGTTCTATTGTCTTTGCCAAAGAACCCTGCCTGTTCATGATATGCCCATAGTAGGACAGCTTCAGTGTTGTCTTTTTGACTCCTGTCATATTTTGGGCAATCGCTAGGACCCACTTATTTGTCTTTCTGGTGGTCCAGGTTATCTGTAGAG